CTTTCTTTCTTTCTTTCTTTCTTTCTTTCTTTCTTTCTTTCTTTCTTCTCTTTTTCTTATTTTCCCCTCTTTGCAGATGCTGCCCCTGCATAATCCACAGTGCTTGATAAGTCCATCACACAGGATCTTTAGTGTACTGATTTATTTCAGGCAAAATTGAGCACGGAAGGAAGGTGAGCAGCGAAGTCTCCAGTCAGGATAAGGAAGAAATGTATGTTCTTTGACCCAGAAAGCCACTTTATTTCTCTCTGTCTTTGAGACAAAGGATTTATTAGTTCAAGTCACTGCATTTCCGAAGTGAGGGATTCTGAATGCTGCACGCAGTAATGAAGCGTCCATTTGTGGAGGCCTGTAGATCTAAATCTATGCGCAAAATGCATGTTTTTATTTTCCCAATTTCAGTGGTTTTCACTGAAGCTGCAAAGCACCCTGATTTGATTTGGCCAGCTGCTTAGCTGCGCAAAACAACAGCAACAATTTAATTTCAATCAGAACAGAGCTGGAAGGGACCTTGGAGGTCTTCTAGTCCAACCCCCTGCTCAGGCAGGAGACCCTATGTCATTTCAGATATGTGGCTTGTCTACCGTGTGGCAAATGAAACTCCAGGGACATTATTTTACTAAGAGTCTAACTGTATTGAGAGATCCATACAGGCCCAGAAGCAGCGAAGCCAGCTCTGAGGTTTTCATGCGAAAGCCCGCATAGTTAATAGCAATAGCATTTAAGACTTATATGCTGCTTCACAGTGCTTTATGGCCCTCTGCAAGCAATTTACAGCTTCTTGCCCCCAACAACCTGGGTCCTCATTTTACCCACCTCGGAAGGATGGAAGGCTGAGTCAACCTTGAGCCTGGTGAGATTCGATCTGCCAAATTGCAGGCAGCCGGCAGTCAGCAGAAGTAGCCTGCAATACTGCACTCTAATCCACTGCCCCCACCACCACTCTAACCACTGCAGCTCTTAATTTCCCCTATTCCATAAGGGCCACCTATAGTTTATTGCCCACTAATAAATAAAAGCATTCTCTTTTATTTTGGGGAAGCAATTTGCACCTTTGAAAGGTTCCCATCCCACAGCCTTGAAGTGTCAGGATTTTCTCAGGCTGCAAATGACTCACATAAATTCATCTCCCTCCCAGGCTCTCAATACATTCCAAGCATTCTCCTTTCCCTCCCTCCTTATATCTGTTGTCAAGTTGTGAGTAGAGGTGTGTTATGAGTCAGCCTTGACATGGCTGCCCAGTCTCTTCTTAAAGACCTCCAGTGATGGAGCACCCACAATTTCTGAATGTAAGCTGTTCCACTGGTAAATTGTCCTCCCTGTTAGTAAATCTCTTTAATCCCAGGTTGCTTCTCTCTTTGATTAGTTTCCAATCATTGTTTCTTGTCTTGCCCTCAGGTGCTTTGGAGAATAATTTGACTCCATCTTCTTTGGGGCAGCCCCTGAAATCCCGGAGTACTGCCATTGTCACCTCTCGTCCTACTTTTCTCTAGATTAGCCAAAACCTGCAATCGTTCTTCATATGTTTTAATCTCCCATCCCCTAAAATCATGTTTTGATTTCCTCTGCACTTTCTTTTGCAAAGTCTCAACATTTTGTGGGGTAATGTGGTGGCCAAAACTGGATGCGGTATTCCAGACGTGATATCAACTAAGGTTTTATAAAGTGGTCCTAACCACAATAACAGCAATAAAACCCAGGTTTTGGCTCACATGTAATTATATGCAAAAAAAAAAAAATCTTTCTGATCTCTGGATTAAAGTAGCAGGCTATCGATCCAACCCTTTGATCCAGGGTGGCGGCTTAAGGCAATGCTCCAATTTGTCTCATCCCATCCACAATGGGCAGAAGGAATCTTTATCCTTCTGAACAGATGTAAAACTTTTAGAGACAGAAAGATGGATAAACCAGGGGAAAACAAAATCTGCATCAAATTCAGGTGTTCACTGAAATGATGGATGGCAACGCCTTAGATTCAGAAAACAACGTTTGTGAAAACGCTCCCCAAAGGTGCTTTTATTTGCAGAAAAGCACAATTCAGGGGTAAGAAGGGAGTGAGAATGGGAAGGAGGGGACAGTCCAATATTTGAGGGGCTGCCACAGAGAGGAAGGGGTCAAGCTATTTTCTAAAGTGCCTGTAGGCCAGACAAGGAATAATGGATGGAAACTGAACAAGGAGAGATTTAACTTGGAAATAAGGAGAATTTTTCTGACACTGAGAACAATCAACCAATGGAACAGAAATTACCTTCAGAAGTTGTGGGAGCTTCATCACTGGAGGCTTTTAAGAAGAGACTGGACTGCCAACTGTCAGAAATGGTGTAGGGTTTCCTGCTTGGGCAGGGGGTTGGACTAGATGACCTACAAAGTCCCTTCCAACTCTGTTAACCTGTTAAAATCTGTGAAATCTGTTAAAGGTTGGACATACCTGGCTTAGGTATTTTTGGAAAAAAGGCACACCTAAAATACAAACAGCCCTTGATTTTTTTAACCATTTGTTTAGTGACTGTTCCAAATTACAATGACCCTGAAAAATGTGACCTACTTTTACAACCATCATGGCCTCTCCACGGTCATGTCATCACAATTAGGGCACTTGGCAACTGGCATGTATTTATGATGATTTCAGCCTGCCAGGGTCATGTAATTGCCACTTTCTCAGCTGGTTTCTGACAAGCAAAACCATGGGAGGAGCCAGATTTGCTTAACAACCATATGGTTCACTTAACAACTGGAGCGATTTGTTTAACAATTATGGCAACGACTACAAAAAAAAAAGACATAAAACCAGGCGGAACTCATTGAACATCTTGCTATGAGCAGTGGTGGCACAGTGGCTAGAGTGCAGTACTACAGGGCTGCTTCTGCTGACTGCTGGCGGCCTGCAATCTGGCAGGTTGAATCTCACCAGATTTAAGGTTGACTCAGCCTTCCAGCTTTCTGAGGTCAGTAAAAGGAGGACCCAGATTGTTGGGGGCAAGAGGCTGACTCTGTAAACTGCTTAGAGAGGGCTGGAAAGTACTGGGAAGCTGTATATAAGTCTGAAGTGCTGTTGCTATTGCCCTTCCTTCCTTCCTTCCTTCCTTCCTTCCTCCCTCCCTCCCTCCCTCCCTCCCATTGGTTAGAATGCAGTATTGCAGGCTAACTCTGCCCACTGCCAGGAGTTGATTCTGACCGGCTCAAGGTTGACTCAGCCTTCCATCCTTCTGAGGTGGATAAAATGAGGACCCAGATTATTGGGGGCAATAGGCTGACCCTGTAAACCGCTTAGAGAGGTTTGTAAAGCACTGTAAAGTGGTATATAAGTCTAATGGCTATAGCTACATTCCTCCCTCCCTCCCTCCCATTGGTTAGAATGCAGAATTGCAGGCTCTGCCCACAACCAGCAGTTCAGTCCTAACCTGCTCAAGGTTGACTCAGCCTTCCATCCTTCTGAGGTCGGTAAAATGAGGACCCAGATTGTTGGGGACAAGAGGCTGACTCTGTAAACCACTTAGAGATGTTTGGAAAACACTGTGAAGCAGTATATAAATCTAAGTGCTATTGCTATTCCTTCCTTCCTTCCTCCCTCCCTCCCTCCTTCCCTCCCTCCCTCCCTGTTAGAATGCAATATTGCAGTCTGATTCTGCCCACAGCCAGGAGTTTGATTATGACTGGCTCCAGGTTGACTCAGCCTTCCATCCTTCCAAGGTGGGTAAAATGAGGACCCAGAGGCTGACTCTGTAAAACAATTAGAGAGGGCTGTGACGCACTGTAAAGCAGTATATAAGTAACTGCTATTGCTTGTGGAGGGAGGGAGGGAGGGAGGGAGGGAGGGAGGGAAGGAAGGAAGGAAGGAAGGAAGGAAGGAAGGAAGGAAGGAAGGAAGGAAGGAAGGAAGGAAGGAAGGAAGGAAAAAGAGAAGGAAAGAAGGGAAATGAGGAGGAGGAAGGAAGGAAGCCATGGTGGCGCAGTAGTTAAAATGCCATATTGCAGACTAATTCTGCCTACGGTCAGCAGTTTGATCCTGACTGCTCAAGGTTGACTCAGCCTTCCATCCTTCCGAGGTGGGTAAAATGAGGACCCAGATTGTTGGAAGGGCAAGAGGCTGACTCTGTAAACCATTTAGAGTGGGCTGTAGAGCACTGTGAAGCGGTATATAAGTCTAAGTGCTATTGCTATTGTTTAGCAATGGAAATTCCAGCCCCGACTACAGTTGTAAGT